CACTATCCACACACAGGCTCATCTGCCCTGCAGCACATTCATGGTGTTCATCTTAGGAGCTGCTTTTACCTGGTTTCTCATGGTGCGGTGTGAGAGCCTGCACGCAGCCATCACCCAGTACTGTGGCTGTACAGGAAAGGCTGAGCCTAAGTAGTCACAGGTGAGCAGCTCTAAGCTGTGCTGCCTTAGCTCCCTTGGTACAGGCAAGTCAGGACTCCTAGATAAACAGCAAAAAATGCCTTCAATATAACTTTCAGTAGTCAATGGCACATGATTTTGTTAGTCCAAACAGTTGAGTCCTTTTGGTTCCTGTAATTTCATTAGTATTAACACTGCCCCTGTTCCTTATCTGTCCTCCCAAATACTTCCCTGAGATATCATAGCACTGGCTTGGCAGGGTGAGGTATCACCAGTCTATACCCAAATAATACTCATAAAGTCAGAGCATCCTTGAATCTCAATCTACACAGACAGTAGGTATTCACAGGCTGTGTTGAACACCGTGTAGCAGCAAAGGCCAATTCTAGCCATAGATTCTGTGCTGTTTGCTGCAGTGACTCACTACCAGTGCTACAGTTTTGCAGCACCTTTCTTATAAAGAAGGACCCTGTGTGCAGACCTGCTATTCAGAATCCCATTAACTTTTATTTGAAAAACTTCCATCTTCTAAACTGTAACCATTTCAGAAACATTGCACCATGATTAGCTGCAGTGACATGACCTCCCGTTCACGACCCAAAACACAGTAAAAGCTCACATTCACTCAGCTGTGACTGTGACATGGTTTCATACTTATTTCAAAACTTAATATAGATAGACCTGGATCAATAGCAACAAATCTCCTATGGGATTCAAAGATGTTTGGAGCTGGAATCACAATTTACCTTACATGATCCTATCGGCCTAAAACAAACAGTACAGGTGCCCAGGTGTTGCTGTAGTGAAAATAAAACGCATACACACAGAAGTGCAAAGTGCAGGGGGTTTGTGCCTTGTGAAGATTTTTTTGAGGTACTGAAAGGTTGTGAGGAGTTTATGAATGCTGGAAAAGGTATTTTTAATGAGAACAAAAATCTGAGACTTGCTCTGCTGTTTATTCATTATTCAACATTTATCATTTTCCTGTAATACTTTGTCTTCATTTTGTCATGGGAATTCAAAATACCCAATTTGGCCAAGAGGACAAACTGCAGACCCTAAGTATTAAATAGCAAAGACTCGAGAAAATGCTTTTGGAAAAACCTGTAGGTAGCAAAAAAAACCCAACAAAACAACCAAAAAAACCAACCCCAAACCTAAAACCCCAAACTAAACCAGCAGCATTAAAGAAATTGCAGGCTGGGATAAGTCTGCACATGAGTTCCTAATCCGAAGGAACAACCTTGTACTTCTACTGATATTGCCAGCGTTTGGGATACTTGAGAAGTCACATAGTAGTTGCATGGGGGTTTGTATAATATTCCAACTACTAAATCCAGCAGCCATAGTTGCGAATTTTTCTTTTATTAAAAGAAGGGTTATAAAATGTTGAGGACTTATGGTTTACGCTAAAAGTTTGAAAGCATTAAAAATCAAAAGGCAACTTCCTTACCTCCCAACTTAGTAAGAAGAAAGAGTTGTGTTTGTCATTCTGCCTCACCACCGATGTCCTTTTGCATGATTTCATACGCTGAATGCTGGCAGACACTCAACTCTGGTAAAGCTCTGGCATAGCTCCATAGGCTGATGATATGACTATTTAAGAGCTTCTATAGCTACTTAGACTACTTATATTAGTTCAGACTCTAACAAAATAAGCAGTACTGGACATACACTGCCTCCATCTGAGCATAAGGCGGCACTTCTAATAATTACTAAAAATCATTTCCTTTTTATGATACACCTGTGATATTTTTTCCCCAATCAGATCATATTTGAATCTCATTTTTCTACAAAGCTTGACCATATCCTTTCAGCTGTGTACCTCTATGACCAGCAGAAGCCAGCTCTCCAGTGGTCACATGAGAACTGCATGACTACGTGTCATGGTTTAACCCCAGCTGGCAACTAAACACCATCACAGCCACTCACCACCCTCCTCTCCCTCAGATAGGACTGGGAGGAGAATTGGAAGAATGGGTTGAGATAAGAACAGTTTAATAATTGAAATAAAGTAAAATATAACAATAATTAAACCAATAACAACAATAGCAATAATCATAATGATGAAGAGGAATAAGACTCAGGAAACACAAGTGATGCCCTATACAACTGCCTACTTCCCGTCAACTGATGCCCAGCCAGGCCCTGAGCAGTGGTCTGTGGCTCATGGCCAGCTTCCCCAGTTTATACACTGGGCATGACGTGCTGTGGTATGGAATACCCCTTTGGCTAGTTTGGGTCAGGTGTCCTGACTCTGCTCCCTCCCAGCTTCCTGTGCCCCATCTCACTGAGGGGCACAAGTCCTTGACTTAGGGAAGGCACTATTTAGCAACACCTAAAACACAGGTGCATCATCAACATCATTCTCAGACTAAATCCAAACACAGCAACTGTAACAGCTCCCAGGAAAATAATTAACTCCACCCCAGCCAAAACCCAGACACTATGCAAAACAGCCTGACAACAACAGTTGGGTAAGTCTTTGCCATGCCAGCTTTCTTGGGTTTGACTGCTGCCAAAATGCAATACTAGAAAATTATTGGAATCTCTTTATCTATGGTAACTTCTCCAAAACAGAACACAAAGTTACAGCATCATTTTTCCCCTACTACTAAACCTCTTGATGTAACGCTGCTGAATTTTTTGCCATCACATGTGTGAAGACAAATACAGCAAAACAAAAAGCCAGTGGCTCAACTTACCTTTATAATTAATACAGAAAATGTGTTGACTCTCATTTCAGAAGATACCATCCAACCTAGTGCTGCTCTGGGACATAAATCAATTAAATACTTTTCTGAATGCTACTCAGGTCAGTAGTCAGAGTCTGCATCTCCAGATTTTGGAAGATTTGGAAGTCCTCAAGATAACTAACAAGAGTGAAACACAGTCAGTGCCACTGGCAGTGCTGCAGCATACTAACAAGAAGAAACTCTCAAACTGTGTCAAAAGAGCAAGGTGACAACAACTCTGACAGTAGGAAAACCTCAGAAGTCAGTGGGACAGAATCTGGGGCATAAACACCACAGGAGTCAGAGTGTACTTGAGGGATGAAAGGCTTCGAGAACCTGGCTATGTGAACATGACATGCAAATACGCAAGTGCAAAATGCTTCAGCTGAAGCAGAAATGTGACAGTGCTCTCTGCTGTCAACACAGACAAGGCCCATCAGCACTACTAAGACATCTGCATGATTAAAACGACCAGGACCATAACAGCACTACAGAAAGTCTTGAACCCAGGACTGGATTCCAGTTGTTTTGAAACTGCAAAGGTCACATCCCTGTGAACAGATTTCCCCAAGTAATGCAAAGAAATAATGATTTCTTTGCTAACCTCACATTAGTGGTAACAACTGAACTTACAGACAAATCCACACAGAAGGTTGTAAGAAACACATTCAGCCAAGAATCACAAGTGCTGTAAACTGGGGGCTGAGCTATGAAGAACAGTACCCAGCTTGCAAAAGGAAATGTCTCATCATGTAAACAAACAATTTGTTGATAGATAAATGTGCTACAGACAATCTAATCTTGGAAACAGAGCTGAAACCATGCAAAGCAAAAGCAACAGATATTTAGGTTTTGCACAAAGAGGTTTTACATAAAGCAGCTTTGCAGATGAAAAATTACATCCAGCATACATGCAAGTAAATGAGTCCTGGCATCCTTAACTGAGAGGACTGAAACAAGTTTTAATCACTAATCCCATTGCACTCACCTCTTTCAACAACATAAACAGGACAACACAAATACTAACACTAATGAGCCAGGGCTGAATTTCCTCCCAAGAAAGCTTATGCAGACACAAGGGGAAAAATTAAAAATAACCAAAAAAGAACAAAAAAAAAATAGTGGGAAACTGCAAAAGCTGGGTATTCAGTGGATGACTGCTTCATCCACATCCAAATCAAAAAACACCCCCCAGTTTCTGAAACCACCAATGTGAACGTTAGTAATGAAAAAGGTGCACCAGAAGTCTGATGGAAAAAGGGTTCATTTGCAGGGTCAATTCAAACAAAATTAACAGAGAGGAGAAGAATTTCTATTATCTATTTATGCCACATCTAAACAATGCGTTTCACTCCTGTTTGTTTCTTAGAAAGCTTTTTAGTGTAAATATGAAAAAATGCTCCTGTCACCAAATGGGAGATCTGAGAGCATTCAGAAACATGCTGGCTACCACTCTGTTACCATGCAGCTCAGAGAAAATCACCAAATCTCAATAAAGTCTATAGGCACAATTATTAAAGCATTAGGAGAGCTCTCTGCTCCCCACCCCCCTCCCTTTTTTTCTTGATGTGATGAAATAGTTTTGACTAGTCTTATTCCTTGTATTTGGGGGAAAAGCAAGACAGGAGAGAATCAATAGGACAGCAATGGTTCTTCTGATTATTTAAAACAAACTTACAAACATTTCCAAATTGCATTAAATATTCTGAATTTAGGACAGGAACCTTCTCATTATCTTTCACAAATCTAATTAACTAAATGAATATGCTCCAAGCAACAGCAAATTCCCCATGTGCACTTTTGAGTAAAGGGATTTTCTTCCTTGTGAAACTGCAAACCAGCATCAGGCATCTGCTCCTACACAGGCAAAGTGGTTGCCAAATGGGACAGTTTAAACCTGAAAAGAACATTTTGGGTTATACAAATATAACCCTGTTTAGAAATACAAAGGCTGAGAGAGCCTCAGGGTATCATTTTTTGTCCATAGTAGACAAGCGGTCTGGTAACAAGGGCAGAAGGCTGGGAAGCGGGATTAGAAACTGTCATTCAGACCAATGGAAAATATGATCAGAAGCAGACTGGTGCTCACAACAGCTCGTTGCAGCAGAGACAATTTTTATTTTGCAGGAGCTCGATACTCACCCTGTTACACACCAGTAAGAGAAGGCTGCTGCAGCAAGAGACAAATTGTGATTTGCCTTAAAAGGTAATTCCTACAGAATCACCTCTGTTTTGACCTGATGCATAATTTATAGAGGGTAAAAAACTCCAGCCTCGAAATGACTTTAGCCCTGTAGTTTTTAACTGTCAGAAATAATTTCTTTAAAATCTAATTCATGATTTGCAGGCTTCATTACATTCTCACAAGTAATTTTAAACTTAAATCACCATTGGCAAATTCATCACTTATTGATAGAAACATTAGTACTCTAATAGAGTGTGACTTGTGATGACACAAGACAGGAAGGGATGAGGGTAGAAAAATCTGATACCTTCTGCCACAAAAGACCATTCTGTCAGGGGAAAAAAAAACAAACAGGGGAAAAAAAACCCAGATTTTCTTTCCCCCACTACTACCTAATGGGTAATTTAAGAAGAGTTCTGGAGTTGCTATAATTATCTTCTAAAATCTGGGTAAGAAGATACAAGCTAAACTCAAACCAGTTTTTTTGTTTTCTTCTTATTTACAGAGATACTGTAAGGATAGAGTGCAGTAAAACTTCATCCTCTACAGGGCAATAAACAAAAGCAAGACAAATCAAACAAAATACAACAAAGAAGTGCAGATATTATCAATTTAATCCTTCATTATGCTGAATCCTATGATTCTGGCTGAGGACACATTGAAACAGTAGAAAAATGATGATTATGTTTTGATTGATATTTAAGGACTCAATAGATAATTAATCCAAACTTTATCAAGTAGTTTTCAACCAAACAACATGAAGTACACTTCCCAGAGTTTCATCATATATACAGAAGCCTATACATGTCTGATCCTACCATGAAAAATGCCCTTCAGGTTTTGTAGGCATCTCCCTTCAACTTGTCAGGCATTGAGGAATATATTTTTTTCTATGTTACAGAATCATAGAATAGTTAGGGTTGGAAAGGACCTTCAGATCATCTACTTCAAACTCCCCTGCCATGGGCAGGGACACCTCACACTAAACCATGTCACAGAAGGCTCTGCCCAACCTGGCCTTGAATCATAGAATAGAATAGTTAAGGTTGGAAAGGACCTTAAGATCATCATTCACAACTTCCCTGGGCAACCCATTCCAGTGCCTCAACACCCTTACAGTAAAGAACTTCCTCCTTAGGTAGGAAGTTTAGATATTGGCTATCCTTTAGATAGCCAATATCTAAACTTCCCCTGTTTAAGTTTTAACCCATTAACCCTTGTCCTATCACTACAGTCCCTCCCCAGCATCCTTATAGGCCCCCTTCAGATACTGGAAGGCTGCTATGAGGTCTTCATGCAGCCTTCTCTTCTCCAGGCTGAAAAGCCCCAACTTTCTCAGCCTATCTTCATATGGGAGGTGCTCCAGTCCCCTGAGCATTCTCGTGGCCCTCCTCTGGACTTCTTCCAACATCTCCATGTCCTTTTTATGTTGAGGACACCAGAACTGCACACAATACTCCAACTGCGGTCTCACGGGAGCAGAGTAGAAGGGCAGGATCACCTCCTTCGACCTGCTGGTCACGCTTCTTTTGATGCAGCCCAGGATACGGTTGGCTTTCTGGGCTGCAAGCGCACACTGCAGCCAGCTCATGTTCATTTTCTCAATGACCAACACCCCTAAGTCATTATCTGCAGGGCTGCTCTGAATCTCTTCTCTGCCCAACCTGTAGCTGTGCCTAGGATTGCTCCAACCCAGCTGTAAATCCCTGAGGGACACCACTCATTGCTGGTCTCCAGCTGGACACTGAGCCATTGACCACAACTCTTTGTGTGCGGCCATCCAGCCAGTTCTTTATCTACCCAGTGGTCCATTCATCAAATTGATGTCTCTCAAATTTATAGACAAGGATGTCATGTGGGGCAGTGTCGAACGCTTTGCACAAGTCCAGGTAGATGACATCAACTGCTCTACCCCTGTCCATCAGTTCTGTAGCCCCATCATAGAAGGCCACCAAATTGGTCAGGCAGGATTTCCCCTTGGTGAAGCCATGGTGGCTGTCACCGAGCACCTTGTTGTTTTTCATGTGCCTTAGCATGCCTTCCAGGAGAATCTGCTCCAAGATTTTGCCAGGCACAGAGGTGAGACTGACGGGTCTGTAATTCCCCGGGTCATCCATTTTCCCCTTCTTGAAAATGGGGTCATATTTCCCTTTTTTCAGTCGTCGGGAACTTCACCTGACTGCCATGGTTTTTCAAATATGATGGCCAGCGGCTTAGCAACTTCATTTGCCAGGATTGATTTCATCAGGTCCCATGGACTTCTGCACGTTCAGGTTTTTAAGATGGTCTTGAATCAGATCCTCTCCTACAGTGAGCCCAAGGTCAGTCCCTGCATCTGCCTTCCAAGACTTGGATGGTGTGGTCAGAGCCTTTGCCAGTGAGGACTGAGGCAAAGAAGTCATTCAGAATCTCAGCCTTCTCCAAATCCAGGGTAGCCAGTTCTCCTGATAGCTTCTGGAGAAGGTAGGGCTGGTGCCGCTCTGCCCCCTGTGAGTCAGCTGCTCCTGGACAAGTCCTGTGGAGGACTTCAGGATCCCTCCGTGGCTGTAGCCACTCTAAACTGAAGCTCCTGGACACTGAGCTTCCCCCTGCTCTGGTGTTGAAGGCGTCCTCTCTCGAGCTGCTCACCTCAGCAACTGACATGTTCCAGATAACAGTTTTATTTACGGTACTTTATTTATCATACCATCATTTTCTTTGTCCAGCAATTATGATTTCTGGCCAGCTATTTTGAACAAATGTGATAAAAAATACATTGCACATATTAAATGTTTTTAGTGCAACTCCCTAACAAAACACAACTTCCCATGCAGTGCAAAACACTGCTGTCATGGAAAGGTAGGTGATGCACAAGCAAAGTCCCACATTTTCTTACCTAAATGCAGCATGAGGCTGTGCCACAGCAAGAGTTAACACTATAAAGCCTGTAAGTACTTGGTTGTCCTGGGTTTAGCAGTAGCAGTCATTTTTTCTCCTTTTTAGTACCTGGTGCAGCGCTGTGTTTTTGACTTTCAGCCTGGGAACGGTGCTGATGGCACAGATGTTTTTAGTTACTGCTCAAATGTTTGGTCTGGCCAAGGACTTTGTGAGCCTCATGCTCTGCCAGGGAGGAGGGGAGGCCAGGAGGAAGCAGAGACAGGACACCTGACCCAAACTGACCAAAGAGGTATTCCATACCACAGCACGTCATGCCCAGGATATAACTGGGAGTTACCCGGAGGGGCTAGTTCACTGAGGAGTTCGATGAGGTATTGGTCCGTGCTCGGTCAGGTGGGGTGGGGTAAGTTATCGGTCGGCTGGTGGTGAGGTGTTGTATTCTCTTCCCTTGTTATTTCCTTTATCATTATTATTATGGCGGTAGCAGTAGCGATTTGTGTTATACCTTAGTTACTAAACTGTTCTTATCCCAACCCGTGGGAGTTGCATTCTTTTCGATTCTCCTCTCCATCCCTCCAGGAGTGGGAGGAGGGCAAGAAGGGGGAAGTGAGTGAATGAGCTGTGTGGCTGGGTTTAAACTACAACATTGGTAAAGAAACCTCCACTGCAATCACATGTGAGCATGCTGTAATTTGCAAGTTGATTGACACTGCCCATGAGAAAGAATGAGAAAAGAGATAAAAAAGAACCACAACTCCCTACAGTGCGAGCACTATACAGTAGCATGAAAAAAGAGAAAATTTGGTGCAACTTAAAGAGAGAAGATAAAGGGATTGCTCAGTCTGGGAGAAGCTCTGACTTCAGTGAAGTTATTTCTAAGTTCACTCCAACAGAGTTCATGAAATGACTGTCTGGTGGCTAAGCCAGATTGTATCTATTTTAGGACAACTACCCTCACCCCTTTGAGCTGTGTGGGTATTGCTGTAACTTTTTCATTTATTTTTTCTATATACATAATGAATAAGAATATATGAGAATAAGAATATTACATAAACTGAATGTAATTCATTTTAAAACAAGCTGCTATGTCTTTTTTTTAGATCTAAATTAAATGCAAAGTAAACATCTCTTGAATGCTTGTGGCTAAATTTACCACTAGGAACTTAATGGGTGTGCTGATGAAACATTTACTTGCACCTGCATTGGCCATAAGGAGAGAAAATTTCCACATCCAATACATCCAGCTTTACATGCAGCTTCTTTGCAATATGACTGCCTCCTTAATATGTGCAAAAGCAAGATTAAATGGGAAAAACTGGCAAAGTTCAAAGTCCAGACTTCAAAAAAAAAACAACAAAACCAAACAAAAAAACCAACAAAACCCCACTAACATTTTCAGACACTGTTTAAGCCACCACATACGAGCTGAGATTTATAAAGTTCTGCCATTCACATTTCAGTTCCGTTGCAATAAATGCCATTATAAAGTTTTCAGACTAGCAATAAAAAAGCTATTAATGTGTTTTCTCCATGTTAATGAATTCAATGTGGGGATTGTGATGTTAACATTATATTACTGCCTTCATCATTTCTCATTCTTATAATAAATAAAATGAACAAAGGATTTTTGGATTCCTTATAGATTCATTTTTATCTTAAACTGAAAGCTGTGCAAGATTTGTGGCTTCAGACTCATAGCTAGTGATAAGCTTCTCCTTCCTTCCTCTTCCGAAACTAAATATATAAAGACGCTTTAACAAAATTAATTGCAGTATTCAGCGTTCATGAATTCCTATGCTTGTGTAATTCATTTCCTGGCAGATAGCAAAGCAAAAGGAGGCTCTCTTGCTGCCAAGGTTACAGGATTCATAAGCAAGCCTGCTCAGGACTAATGAGGAATAAGTAAAGAATCTTCCTCATCACTCCTTTCACTGGGGCTAGCTTTTAACTGCACTAAATTACTTGTGCTGTCAGGCTGCATTCCTTACAACAGAGGGACAGCAGAGAACAGATGCTGCCAAGAGAATCCTGAACAACCATTTCTGCCACAATGGGCAAAATGTTTACTAATAAACATTACTCACAGCTTGGGGACCAATCAGTTTCATATTAATCTCTGGCAAAGAGTATAGTCTCTCACTCCATTCCTTCATCTGCAACACCAATCTTCAATTCAGGCATGATGTGGGAAGGTGAAGCAGCCTGTGCTCCCCGCAGAAAAAAGTTGCAGCCTAAAACCTTGGCTTTCCCCCTACCTAATCCTGCTGCCCAGATTTGCTGACTAGAGATTTGAAACAGGAACTCATCCCTGAAAAGGACTGTAAGGGAAGACCCTGTTGGTAAGGTGAAGCAGCAGAACACTGCAGGATCAGTCTAGGTGTTTTTTCTCTTGTTGCAAATCAACCAATTCACTTTCTGGAGTCATACATACTTCTTACAAGAAATAGCTTTATATGCAGGAAAAGACACACCCAGCCACAATTCTCTAATCCTAAAGCCTTTCCTGAACATTCTGAGACAGCCCAAACATGGGGAGGGATCTTGGTACTTTCAGAAAGCAAGTAATATTTCCTGACTTCTTCTGGATTTTTGAGATAGAGGGTGGAAGAACAATTTAATTTCCTACTCTATAAAATGCAATTCATCTTTTATTCCCCACTCACTTTCATAAAAATATGCTCAGACAAAAGACGTGTTTAATTTATTCTTCTATTTCAGCATGAAATGGAGGACCAGGTGCGCTGCTAGTTCCTGATAAACCAAAAGGAAGTGATCCAAACCTATATGCTTATTAGTACAAATTCATCTTTACCATCCATGCACCACCATATTCTGAATAGAATAAGAAAGGCTCAGCACTGTGGTTACAGGATACAAAAAAGGGAATGTTAAGATTCATTCTTACCCAAGGAAATC